CTCGGTCTGGGCGATGCGCCGGCCCACAGCGGACGACCGAACAGCAAACGGTGTGTAGCTAAGCAGCGCTCACTGATCTGCGAGGTATTGAGAGAGCCCAAGTTGACAGACGCACACACCAAGGGCAGCGTCTTGGTGAGCTTTGCAGTTGACGCTTTCTGCGAGCAAATGTGCAAGCTTAGCTGGATCTTGTGACTGTATATTCGTACACTGGGATGCATCGGATTATGCTGTGGCGGCTTTTTGAGTCAAACGCGTGGATCTGCGGCACTTCGATGACCTATTCGAATAGTCCGTGCGCTGCATCCTAAGCTGCACAACGAGGAACGGAAAAGTTCTGTCACAAAGAATTGCAGTGCAGAACGCGACGCTCGACTGCAACGGCTAAGCAAAATTCACAAACACTGGTGGATACGCTCGGATCTTTAAAGGGCGCATATCCTATATAGACACAAACTCTTGAACGTCATATAGACGTAGAATTAAGTTCAGTTTTAGAGGAGTGCTGGAACTAACCCTCTTGAAGATGGAGGATCTCGAGACATCCGCGATTCTCGACTTTCACGGCATCCCCGATGTCGTAACCGTGCAGGTGCAGCAGCAGTATCTGCATATGAAGGTTTAACTACGACACCCTTAAATATTTGGACGGGCACATTTCCTGCTTCGGATATTGAGCAACTTGCACGTCAGACAGGCAACTCAAAGCGCTTTCCAGTGTTTATCCACATGTTGCTCACAGTGTTTGTGAATCTTCTAACGACCACCGATTTGGATCTTTACAGGCAGCGTAAAGTGCGGCCTAAAGCAGCTTTGGAAAGGAACGATGATCACATTACATGATTCCTGGTGTTAGATCAGCTTAAAATCTTTATTCTTACCACATATTCATAGGCTGCCATGTTCAACTACTAGTACAAATTCTGGAAAATGCTATCTAATCTTAACTTATGCCGTCGAATTTGATCGAGTGCACACTACCGATTGCCTCTAACCCAAGAACAATCGCCATATCCTGAAGTTTTGCATCGAACAATTCGAAGACTGAGTCAAGCTTTAGCTGCAAAAGAAAATACTTTTACTAACGAGAGATATTCTCAATTAGAGAAAGAAAATGCTGCGAGAACCGATTCTCGCAGCATTTTCTTTTTCGAGAACCGATTCTCGCAGCATTTTCTTTCTCTAATTGAGAATATCTCTCGTTAGTAGTTTGATATTGAAGTAGGTTGATGCGGAAATGTCAGAATTGATTCTACGAAAGATCTACAACGAAAGCTTGAGGTAGGATGCAGTGAAAGATCTATTTATAAGCTGATACGAAGCTGATGAAGTGATTCGTTGTGAAATGGTTGATGTCGAATGAAGTGAACAAATAAATCTATCAGCATTTGAAAGAGGAATCAGCGCTAGAGATGGAATCCTGCTAACTGACTAAGTATTTGCTGTGCATATTTTAGACAACTTCGACTTGCATCTCAGCCGAAAGATACAAGACAGGAGCAAGAAAATGTGGTAACAAGACGCAAACTCGTACGTGACGACTTGACCATAATGCGGTATTGATCCACATATTGTTATAGTTATATTCTCTTTTCTAAAAGGAGAGTAACAAAGCAGTTTAAACGACCTTGGCACAATTGATGCAAATTAAAGCACATCTAGAGGAGACACAGCAAAAAATCGTGATTTGCTTCGTCCGCTGGCATTTTCACGTGCACGGTCTGAACAGGTAACGCGTCAACGTCCTGTGCTTTTGGACACATCAGGGATTGAACCTGGGACCATCCGCTTGCAGAAACGGACCCGTTTTACTGCGCTATGTGCACAGCTTCTGTAAAACTTCTTACCAGATAAAATATTACATGATCTCCCACAGTAGGAAAATAATTTTACCACCATATCATAAAAAAGGCATTGGGTTCCTGTAAGAAAGAAGCGCATGATATAGAACGAAAACAGACACGATTCTTTTTTAAAAGAAGTCACTGCGATCCGTCCGGCCGTTAGCGATAGCATACCTCAGCGTTTTCTTTATGCCACACTCAAACCTATAGGCAAGCTCATGTAAATATTAGGACGTGTCATATTCGACAATATATGAAGTGCATGCTTCCCATCAGAACACTCGATATTAAAGGCTCTGACCATCTCCCAAATACGACTAAGATATGCGGCATCATAATAAGCGATGATGAGCAAGGTCCAGTGCTGATGC